ATAAGTAAATTAAGGCATTAGAAACCAGAATCAGCAATACACATGCTGAAAAGTAATCAAAGGAACTGGGGAATGCAGTACTTAAATTAGTCCAAATTAAATTAGAAGATAGCAACAAAAGGTACTTTTTTTTTTTTTTTTTTTTTTGTCAGTTGTGGGGCCTGAGCTCTGAGCCTGGGCACTGTCCCTCAGCTCTTCAGCTCAGGGCTAGCACTCTACCACTTGAGCCACAGCGCCACTTCTGGCTTTTTCTGTCTATGTGGTGCTGAGGAATTAAACCCAAGGCCTCATACATGCAAGGCAAGCACTCTACCACTGAGCCACCTTCCCAGCCCCCAAAAGGTACTTCTGAAGTTACAAATCCCAAGCAGTCAGTGGATAATGAGCCCCTGCTATAAGAGAATTACAATCTGAATTTACAAGGTTTTAATCAAAGGGCTATCTAATATCATCCAAGAGTAAAACTGACACCATGTTCTTGTTCTCCCTCATAATGGAGCAGAATCAAATGGCTCTTTTAAAAATCAGTGATATCAAAATAGCAGAATCAGGAATATCCAATTGCCATGATGATGCCTCCTGAATATCTTTTTTCACAAATAATAAACTCCTTACTGATGTTCCTAAGGCACATAAAATCTATTGTGTGGAACATAATGTTACTTGTTAAGTATCATCCGTTGTCTTCTCTTTATTCATGCTGCTATATTTTCTTCTTGCTAATGTTTTTACGTTTATTGTCACAGAGATAGAGGCATCAAGCATATACAAACTAATATAAACTTTACTGATACTCTCAGAATACCTAGGAAACAGAAAAAAGATCTTGTGGGAAACTGCCACTTGATAATCTATATGTTTTTAAATGCTGCTAAAAAAAATGTGCATATCCTCAGGAACTAAATCTACTAACCTCTACAATCAATGTGATACATGGTTTATCCAATCTTGACAAAAATCCTCTGGATCACCAATGGTATGTTCATCCACTCGGACATACGCAATTGTATAAAGAATCTATTATTTAGAACACCAAAAAAGATACAATTAAAAGACTCATACACATAGCTACCATTTTAAGAAAAAAAAATAAGCACTTTTCATTATTTGCTAGTGTCTTTGATGCCCTACTTTGCAAATGAGAAAAAATACTAATTACCAAATATGGAGAAGAATATGTCCAATAAACAGAATTACTGAGACTATGCTAATGCTTAAAAAATACACTAATTATTAAAAGCTTTTTTAAAGCTACAATACCCATACAGTATATTTTTATCATTTGTGTGTATATATACCATAAACATATTAAAATTAAAGAAAGTATCTCAACTATACAATAGTTTTACATGAGTGTTAGGTATAATATGATATTAGGACATTCCAACTGAGAAATACAAATGGCTAAAGCACTTGGGAAACTGAAGCATGAGAACCAAGAGTTTGAGGCCAGCTTGGGCTACACAGAGTTCAAACCCAGTCTGAGCTACACAGGGAAACCCTGTATCAAAAAAATAATTTTTTTAAGTATACCATTCATAATCCTAGCAACCTATGGCCTTTCTCATCAGTCCTCATCTCCTTCCCTAGGCCTTCTGCCTTTTTCTCACTCCCATGATCCCTCATCTTTCCCACTCTCAGGTTATAGAAACAAAGTTTCCACATACCATGGAACCATTGAACCATTTTACATATGAGAAACACAAGCCCTAGAAGTAGTTTTGTGTTCAAGTTTAATCAAAAAGCAGAACCACCAAGATTCAGAACAGCTAACTCCAATTTCGGAGTTATTACCTACTACACAAAACATTTCTCCTAAATACCTCAACATGGATATGCCAATAATTTATTCATTTGGCAAATATTTTAATTGTTGAACAAAAACCTGTATTATCTTTTCCCATTTCCAATTTCTTCCTAAATCTATTTTTCCACCCCATTTTCTCAAGTTAGATTCTTGGAGTCATCATTCATCCCCTCTTTAATAACCCACATCTACTAACTAATAATTTCTGCCTATTTTAGGAATTCTACATTAATACTACCTCCTTGCCAAACTCACTCTCACTGGCCCAATTCAAACTCTAAGTTTCTTTTACTTAGCCACTCTGATGGCCCAAGCTCCCAATTAACAAATCTTCCAGCTCTTGGTCTCTGGATCCTTACAATAAAAGCTATACCACTACCTCCTCTGTTACCCTTACAAAACAAATCCACTCATGTTTGACCCCTACTGTCTATAGAAAAAAAAAAAGTCCATGCCTACAACACCCTGGTCCCAATCTACATACTCAGCATCATCTGCTCTTGCCCCAACACCAAAAATATTTACAAACATTTACACATTATTTATACAAGGCATTTTTACAAACATTAATTCTAGCAATATTATGAGTGTTCCTTGTTATCCCAATTAGATGAGAAACTGAGAGTCAGGAAAGCAAGATAATTTGCTCAAGATCCCAAATAATAATTAGCTATTTCTAAAAATGCACTTTATCCTGCCTCCATGTTTCAGCTCAAAATCCTTCACTCTGGAATGCTATGCTCATTCCTTTGAGGTTTCCAAGATCTAAGTGGCATTGTTAATACTTCATAGAAAATACTTACAGTGATATATAAATGTGTCTCTAATTTTAAGCTCTCTGAGGACAGGACCACAAATTATTCACTCAATTTTAAGACTGACTACTGAATTGGAAAATATGTAGGTAAAACATACCATGTAAGATGGCAAGTACCAAAGTAAATCAAAGTAAATCAAACCATCTAATTTTAACATCTACCTTCTATACAAGACCAATGCCTCAGTGCCAACTATTCTGATTGACACTGGCCTTTATTAAACATTACAGTTACTAAAAGCATTAATGTAAAACAGAATAGGGTAGAAACAAAAAAAAAATGGAATGGAAGTTCATTTTACAAAACAGAAATACCATTGTCATTTTCCATGTTAACCTTGCTATTTGGTTAAGTAACCAAAATCTAAAATACGCAGGCTTAATAGCCTGTATAAAAGATCAGCTCAACAGTATGTAAGCCTGTCATTAAAACGATCATCTCTTTGGAGCTATTTCAGTGTGTCCAGAGAGTCATATTCAACTACACAAGCAACTTCCTAAGTATACTCTAAAAGAGCTACTAGGATTCCTGGCATTGGCAGAGGCTCTCTCAGAAAATATCTGACATGCTGATTATCTGGCCAACTTGTACTTGGAACCAAGTTTTTCCATGGCTATGTCAAATGGTCACACTGAAGAGTATGTGCTTTAAGATTATAGGCGGCTGCTCCTCCATAAATTGTCTTTATCCCAACAAAGATCAGATTCCAAGGCTACCTTCTAATTACAAAGGCCAGAATATGAAACCACTAAGCAGCTGACCAGATGAAAAGCCTTCAATGCTTTCTTCCCTCAGTTAGAAAACTCTGATGACTGCTACTGAAATATAACTACAATGTCAACTTTTCCATGAACTGACAGAAGATACTAGAGAAAACTGTCCTGCACTGAATTTCATTCCATCCCCAAATATGATCCTAAATATAAAGAAGACTATAAACTCTAAGATACTTCTACAGAAGTATCCTTAACAATCCGAACTGTTCTCTTTTTTTGGCATATTATTCAAAAATCTAGTATGTTCTCTTCCACAACAGCAAAACTTTGCCCCATTGTGTGTGTGTGTGTGTGTGTGTGTGTGTGTGTGTGTGTGTGTGTGTGTGTGTGTGTGTGTGTGTGTGTGTATTATAGGAGGTCCTTATTACGGGAGATCCTTCTAAATGCTAGCAAGGAAAAAGCTGGTGGATCTTGTTATAAAATGTTTATTCTCCCTTTCAAGGAGGTTAATAAACTATAGAGCAGAATTAACATAAATTTTGGAATCAGAGAACCTCCCTTCAAACTCTCTCTAGAATGAGAGTAGCTATACCACTGACAATGACAGTACCAAACTTGGAGCTGTCCTGAAAATTCAATGAACAGGTACAAAGCATGGTTAAACTCCCACTAAATATTAATTTTGCTATTATTCTGTTATAATCTGACTCAATGTGACAGTTATGAGATTTGTGCAAATACCATCAATTCGAACAAATCTCAACCCATTATCCATCCTGCCTATATCTACCATAAGAAGCATTACTCAAAAAAGAAAAAGGTACCAGTGGCTCTTGCTGCCACTCAGGAGATTGAGATCTGAGGATCCTGATTCAAAGTTAGCCTAAGCAGGAAAGTCCATAGGCTCTTATCTCCAATTAACCACCAAAAAGGTGGAAGCAGAGCCGTGACTCAAGTGGAAGAGGGTTAGCTTTGAGCAAAAGCTCAGGAACAGTGCCCAAGCCCTGAGTTCAATCCCTGTACTGCCACAAAAACAAAACTTATTCAACTGACAAATATGTCCAGGTGGACATAAGAACATTCATGTTTAAAAACTTGTAATAAAATATTAAGAGAAGATAACAAGCGATCTGCTTCTATTATCATCTACTAGTCAGAAATAATAGCAAGCCAGGTATAGCAGTGAGTGGCTGTAGTCCCAGTCAGCTACTGAGGAGGTTGAAGTGGGATAATCACTTTGAGTCTAGAAGTCTAGCTTGAGCAATAAGACCTTTATCTGAATTTTTTAACATATATTAGGAAAGAGCTAGGGAAGGGGTGACATTGTCCAAAAAGAAATGTACTTATTACCTGAATAACGTAACTGTAACCCTTTGCACATCACCATTTTAATAATTTTTTTAAATTCACAAATATGTATATATGCATATGTGTATATATATACCTATATGTAAGAGTTCAGAATATATATGTATATGTACTCACATATGTATATATAAGAAATATTTAGAAAATTTGCTCCTTTATGGAATTTTGGAACACCTTTTATCAGTTATCTTTCCTTTAATTACAGCCATACTAACAAACTAAAAATGCTTTATTTGAAGTTTCTTAACCAGTATATGGCTTCATGTCAAGATATTCTAAGGTACCAATTACCAAGTATTTCATCTCTCCTGAAGAAATAGAGAAAGTCAACAGATTTCTATGGTGATATGACCAAAGAAAACAATGGAAAGGCAAGAAATGGACGGTCCTCCGAACTATCCCATTAGGTATTAAACCCAGTAAATCCCTTAACCAGCATCTTACCAGGAAATTGACATACAAGAGCACACTGTATATATGCCACTTCAGAATAATATCCAATTCTTCCTCTCATTTTGTTCCCCATCCCCACTAACTGAGACTGTTAACATGTTTAGTGATATAACAGGAATCCAGATACCACACAGTATCAGCTTTAAAATAAAAATCAGACTACTAAAATTGTTACTACTGAGAATACAGAACATAGACATGTTGGCTAGGATATGAAGTAGAACCCTTATAATGGTGGTGGGAATATAAATGGTAAGGCCACTGTCAAAAACAATATGGCAGGTAGAACTTAAGGGTAAAGAACTTATAAGCATGCACAAGGCCCTGCATTCAATTCCAGTGTATGTGTGCACACATGCATGCACACACACACACACAGATGGTCCCCCAAAAATTTAAAGTACAATAGTAGCATAATCCAGCAAGTCCCCTTCTTTGTGTATACTCAAAAGAACTGAAAATCGGGTCTCAAAAAGGTATATATCCATATTCACAACAGCATTATTCATAACAGCTAAGAATCAAAAACAACCCAAGTGTCTATAGAGATGAATGGATAAAAAAAAAAATATGAGCCCAGCACTGGTGGCTCACACCTGCAACCTTAGCTACTCAGGAGGCTGAGATCTAAGGATCACAGTTTGAAGCCAGCCCAGGCAGAAAAATCCTGGTGAGACTTTTATTGCCAATTAACCACTCAAAAGCCAGAAGTGGAACTGTGGCTCAAAATGGTAGAGTGCTAGCCTTGAGCCAAAGAAGAAAGAGAGGGTGGGGGAAGGGAGGGAGGGAGGGAAGGAGGAAGGGAGGGAAGAAAGAAGGTAAGGAAGAGAGGGAGAGAGAGAGGGAGGGAGGGAGGGAGGGAGGGAGGAAGGAAGGAAGGAAGGAAGCAAGCAAGCAAAAGATACATACAAGGGAATATTATTCAGCCTTCAAATGGAAATTCTGGCAAATTTTACTACATGGATGAGCCTTGAAGACATTATGGTAAATGAAGCAAATCAGTCAAAAGACAAATAAAAAATGACACCATTTATATGAGGTAGCACGAGTAGTCAAAATTAGAGACAAAGCAGAATGGTGGTTGCCAGGGGCTAGGAGGAGGAGGACCAGGGAGCTGTTTAATGAGTATAAAGTTTCAGTTTTGCAAGATGAAAAGAGCCCTGAAGATGGATAGTGGTGGTGATTGCACAACAGTATTAATGCACTGGGGCTGTACACTTATAAATGGTTAAGATAGGAAACTTTATATGTGTGCCTTTCCACAATAAAAAAAAATGGTTTTGAAAAATAAATAAATCAGGGAACTTATCTCCTCAGAGCACCTCCACTGGAGCCCACAGTCATGCAATTCAATTCTGTGGCTATTAGCCAGTGTCTGCTTCTCACCACACCAGAAACCTCGCCATCTCTGACTCTCCATCCAGCCCAGAATCACAAGCTTCAGAAAGGGACAACAGTACCTCCTACTCCTCCAGGTCTGTGTGAAAGCAGCAAGGAACCTGCATGTCTCTAGGCCTGTCTCCCTTTTAAAACAAGGATAATTCATACCTACCTGCCACACAGGTTGCTATGAAGGAAAAAGTGAGATCATTTAACATAAAAGGCAGCCAAGCACAAAAGGAACATAAATTATGTTTACAGCTACTTTTATATGGAGATTCAGAAGCTTTAACAGCAAACACAAGCTTGGCATACCACACTCAAGGCTCCCACTGAACACACACATCATTCCCCAAAGACGCTGGCCTTGATTTTTGTCATCTTTGGAAGGGCGGCATGGGGGAGGCGTTTAGGGGGACGGGGGGGTGGGCGGGGAGATTGACGAGCTCACTAATTAATCCTCAAGCATCTTACCAAAAACATAATCAGAAATGATCCTGCGTGTCCTCAGAGAACGGAATATTAATGACCCCAGCGTGGGCCTGCGGCAGACCCGGAACTACACTTCCCACAAAGCACCGGGGCAAACCCGGGTGGTGGACAGGTTGGCCTGGGGCGGGGAGGAGGGGGGGGGAAATTGAGGCTGACCACCACGGCTCCCCCGGGGAGCGTGGATCGCCTTCCCTGGGAAAGCTGCAGCGAGTGTGCCCCGGCCCACCTCCTCCGGCAGCAGCTGTCGCGCCGCGGCCTGCCTGCGGCGGGCAGGACGGGGCCCGTCCCACTCCACCCAAGGGGGAGGGGAGGGGGAACATCGCCTGGCCGTGACCTTTCAGCTGATTCCTGGGGTGTCTCCTCCCCTTCCCCAAAACTCCAAGCGTAGCCCAACCACAGTCCGGATCTGCGGTGGTAGAGGAAGGGAAGACAGGGCGGGGGGTTCGACGGGACGGGTGGACACTGGCCCAAGGCTAGGGGCGCCGACCCGCCCGCTAGCCCTGGACACAGGTCAAGGAGGAGGAGAGGGGGTGCCCGGGCTCCCCAGCCCCGCGGGCCCCGGGCGGATCACGGGCCAAGGTTGGCTCCGCCCGGGGCTCGGGTTTCAATTTCGCAAGGTGACGGTGCAAACCCGAGGCCTACAAGCGCCCGCGGCGCCCCGCG